AAACTGGGAGAGACTAGAGGTGAAACTGGGAGAGACTAGAGGAGAAACTGGGAGAGTCTAGAGGAGAAACTGGGAGAGTCTAGAGGAGAAACTGGGAGAGTCTAGAGGAGAAACTGGGAGAGTCTAGAGGAGAAACTGGGAGAGACTAGAGGAGAAACTGGGAGAGACTAGAGGAGAAACTGGGAGAGTCTAAAGGAGAAACTGGGAGAATCTAGAGGAGAAACTGGGAGAGTCTAGAGGAGAAACTGGGAGAATCGAGAGGAGAAACTGGGAGAATCTACAGGAGTAACTGGGAGAATCGAGAGGAGAAACTGGGAGAGTCTAGAGGAGAAACTGGGAGAGTCTAGAGGAGAAACTGGGAGAGTCTAGAGGAGAAACTGGGAGAGTCTAGAGGAGAAACTGGGAGAGTCTAGAGGAGAAACTGGGAGAATCTACAGGAGTAACTGGGAGAGTCTAGAGGAGAAACTGGGAGAATCTACAGGAGTAACTGGGAGAGTCTAGAGGAGAAACTGGGAGAATCTACAGGAGTAACTGGGAGAATCTACAGGAGTAACTGGGAGAGTCTAGAGGAGAAACTGGGATAATCTACAGGAGTAACTGGGAGAATCGAGCGCTATATTTAGAGGCGCAGGACTGGCCGGACACTGAGCCTGAAGTGAAGAACAGAAACTCTTTCAAGGAAAAACTCTTCTTAAAACCAGAGATTCTGTTCATAACCTCAGAACACAAGCTATGGATCTGCGGGAGCCGAACATCCGGAATATGGGATATCACGCGATTCACCCTTTACACTGATGATCTCAGTGAAGTCAGATACTAGATAAAAGCTCACAGACTGACACTGAACCCCAAAAAACTGTTTTGTTACTCGAAATAGAACAAACTTTAGCTGAAATAAAATAAAACACATAAAAAGCCTTAAAATAATTTTATTTAAACTAGTTACCAAGGCACAATTTCTCATTTACATTTAGTTTAACCTTATGTACTTAAATAAAATAAAAATAATAAAAACAAATAATTAAATAAAAATCTAAATGAAAAAATATTTTAAACTAACAACAAACATACAACAAAATTACTAAAACTTTAGCAAAAAATTATTAAAATGGAAAATATATATAATAGGGGTGTCACGATTCTCCAAATCCTCGATTCGATTACATTTTCGATTCCAAGGTCACGGTTCGATTCGATTCTCGATTTTTACATTTATTTTTTTGAAGCCGAAACCGGCCAATCAGGATGCTCTCTGTCTTACATGCGCTTCATGAGGCACATACGCAAGATCTCTCGCTCTCTCCCGTGCGCGCGCTATACAGTTTGGAGCACAGTTTTTCTGTCTCGCATGCGCGATTGCGCGCTCTTGCTCGCTCGCTCACTCTAGATTCCGGGAGATTAACTAATTTGCGAGCATCAGGGAGCCGCTATCAATATGCGGGAGACTCCAGGAACTTCCGCGAGACTTGGGATGTCTGCAAAGTAAACTGTGGCTTTTTTGAAGCGCGAACGTTGTCAACATAACTCACTGGAAATCCAAAAAACGTACACACCTGCGACTTCAATGAAAGAGGAGGGGGTTCAAGTTCTGTCGATGGGTCTCCTGCATCTGCAGTTGCCATGCTATCTTTTGAATGGCTGTAGCTAAGAGGAGGTTGACCATAGACTCGCAGCGTGTTTTTTTCCCGCTTGGCACGCCGACCGGACGTGACATAGGGGCGTGGCAGCATCGACGATTCCATTTTTTAATTCGATCGATTCGAAAATTTTTTAATTTCGATCGATTTCGATTTAAGATCGAAATCGTGACACCCCTAATATATAATAAAAACTAATTCAACTGAAAAAAAATATATATATATAGAATTTTATATCAATTAATATTATTTTATTTAAAGTAGTTAGCAAGGCAACATTTCTAATTATCATTTAGTTTAACCTTATGTACTAAATAACAAAAAAATATTAAAACTATTAATTTATATTAAATTAAAATGATTAAACATTTATTAAAAATATTTTAAACTAAACAAAAACTTATAAAAATTACACAAAAACATACAATAAATTACTAAAACTTTAGCAAAAAATAATTCAAATGGAAAATACTTAAAACTAAAATAAAATAAAACAAGGCTATATATAAAAAACTTATTTTATTTCAACTACTTAGCAAGGCAACATTTCTCGTTTTCATTTAGTTTAACTTTATGTACTAAAATAAAAAATATTAATTAATATTAAATTAAAAATATAAATAAAAAAAAATAAACAAAAATATGCAACAAAATGACTAAAACTTTCACAAAAAATAAAAAGGAAATGTCAATTACACTAGAGCAATCACAGCCATCAAACCCTGAGTAACGAGCAGGTGACGGAGTTAACCCTTACCTGTCCTCGTCAGCACCGGTGGAGCCAGCGAAGGCGGCGGCGGCCCCGTCGGGTCCGAGCGCGACCGTAGCATCCGGCGCAGCGAAGCCTCCCGCGGTCAGAGAGAGCAGCGAGTGATGCTGTAGCAGGAGCCGGTGCGCGTCTTCCAGCTGCGACGCCGTCACGTACGCGGCGGGAAACACAGATCTCAGCGGTGCAACAGCGGAGGACAGCGGCGGCTCCGCGGGGAACGTCTGGGGCCGCGGAGAGACCGGCGCCGGAGGGAGTCCTGCTATCCCGATGGACACAGACGCGGCTCGGGGTGACACCGGCGGCATCACGGCGTATTCCTGTGGAGCTAGCGAGACACCGGATGCTGGAGGTTTGGTGTGAGCAGGGGGTCGCGGGACAGACACGCTCTCCATCAGGACGCTAGCGGACGGAGGCTCTAGCGGGTGACTAGCGTGGGCATCTCCGCCGCTCAGCGTGCTTCCAGAGGAGCTGCTGCTCGTGCTCTCGAGCTCCGCCTGCATGACGCTCTCCACCGCTCTGTGAGCAGCCGTGTCTCCCGGCGGCGCGTCTTTCTCGTAATACTCCGCACAAGTCCAGCGGCCCTTCCGGAACGGCTCCGAGTTCGAGTCGAGCTTCACCACGCGGAAGCGAGAGGCTGTGCTAGTCGGAGGAACCGCGGATACGCTTTCCGGAGCGGTTACGCCGGTCTCGACTAGCACGGATCCACTTGGGACGGCGGGAATCGTCGTAGCTCGCCCTTGAACGGTCTTATGATGATGGACTCCGTTGACCATGTAGCCCTGGTGCATTAGCGGTTCGTTAGGCGACGTGACTCCGGGCGTCTCGCCTCCATGCAAACTATTGAGCGTCTCCTCCGACGAGCTGCGCACCGGGACGCCGGTGTCCGCGGTTCGGTCGAGGATATCGGACGAGGAAAGATCCTCCGTGTGCGACTCGTCCATGTCGTCGTAGCTCTCCGTGTCGTCGGCGATGCTGTTGTTCCCGCTAGCGGACACCTGCGCCGGGAGGACGCTCGTGATCTGGAAGCCGCTCTTCTTCTTGCCTTGCGTCGCGACGGATTGGACGTTGAGGCTGTGTGGCGGGTGATGATGCGGGCCGGGCGAGGACGAGCCGGAGGCCGCCGGATGGGAGATTTGCGCTGGTGTCTGGTGCTCATCGGATGGGACGGCGACTCCGCTTCCCCGGCGTCCGGCGAACACCGACGGGTGCGACATCCGCCTGCTCTCGCCACTGGACTCTGAGTGATGCATTCTGGGAAATACACTCCAATACAGATGTAGATATGCTCAAGCAAGTACTGAGTCTGATGAACACACTACAGTCTGTGCGGTGAGGTCAAGAAACCGCTTATAGTCCCCATTTAAAGAGCAAACAAGACTTTGACAGCTTCAGTTCTCACAGCGTTGCTTATAATCAATGAGTGTTTATAATAAACAATGCAGGCTAAGCTCTTGGTTAGCACATTAAAAGAGCATTCTAGTTAACTGACAACTAACTAAATCCATCAGAAGCATATATTCTGACTGAAACACATATTCACGAGTTTGTATCAGCGACACGCGTCAGTTACGGCTCAATGCCGGCTAATAAATGAACATAAACACAGTCGACATCACCTCAGCACTGCAGACGCTCATCCGAACTCATGATTTGACTGAATATTGACTGAAACGCGGTTTAAATCCTCTTTAGTGGCGTTTTCTAATCACAGGCCTGAGAGAAAAGGGTGAAATGGCTTCATTCGCAGGTTTGCTGTATCATCCTGTCTCTGTCTCATCATCACTGCTGAGAGTATTAGCACGCTAGCCGACGAGCTAGCAGCTGTGGTGACGCAGGCAGGGGCGGAGCCAAGGCGCGCAGGACACGCCCATCACGAGGCTGCGGCGGAATATTAAATAATTGTATTATTGTCTTTCAGTGATCCTCATCCTTAACACATAACATTGCACTTTACGTCCGAAAATAAACAGGAGCAACACAAGGACATAATTCACCACCTCTAACCCAAGTAAACACGTTCCTAACATGATTCATGCCTTAAATTATTACATTCTTAATTAAAAACATTTTTCGCTAACTGTGATTATGTATATGTACATTTCTAGACTGAAATACATAACTTAGACAGTTAGTTACCTCTGATAACAGATCAGTCAAAATTGTAATGTGGACTTCTGCATATTCTGTAAAGCTGCTGTGAAACGATGTGTATTGTGAAAAACTCTATACAAATAAATGTGAATTTAATTGAATTGAATTAAAGTGTTCGAATTACCCTCTTTACCAGGGCTATGCAATGAGCAATACATTTGTTACAGTATTTATTAATGTTGGTAAACATTAGTTAGCTATAGTTAATAAACATACTTTCACTTGTTAGTTAATGATAGCTCAGATACATTAAATAATATTAACAGATGTAGATTTTGCTTTTTATAAAATGTTGAAATTAACATCAATTAAGATTAAGAAACGCTTTAGAAGTGTTTTGGGTTACACTTTATTTTAAGGTGTCCCTGTTACAGTGTAATAACAATTTTCATGTTAACTAATGAAATTAATGTTAACAAATGGTACCACATTATAAAGTGTTTTGTGTACGAAACCACAAAAATGAGAACTAATCAACAGGCAGTAATGCCAAATTTGATATTTATTCATTTTATACTGCGTGCGTTCTGATCTATGGTACGTGTTGAAGAGCTGATGAAGGATTGTTGTGTTCGTTACCAGATGAACTTCTCAACACTAGAGCCGACACTCGTCAGCTTCTCCACCCTTGATGGATGTGACGCATGAACATCTGCAGGTGAAGACAGATCCAGAGTCAATGTCAAGTCGAATCAATCACCTTTACTTTTATAGCGCTCGACACCTTTACACAAAACCTTAAGAGAAACCAGGTTCTCTTCTTTGACCAACGAACAAACGACGTGTCATTATGATTAAGGTTGCATTACAGGTCTATATGAACCTCGGGATAAACAGAAAGACTAACATTAGCGTAGACGCCATTCTTCTTATGATGTAACGAGTACATCGGGTGTTATGGGAAGTGTTCTGACCTAATCTATGCAGCCTAATAATCATTTAACTGATTTGAATAATAGGAATGTATAGTGTGTTATGCGTATGCTAGGTCAAAGAGATGTGTTTTTAGTCTAGCTTTGAACTGACAGAGTGTGTCTGCTTCCCGGACAATGGTAGGAAGACTGTTCCAGAGTTTTGGTGCTAAATAGGAAAAGGATCTCCCGCCTGCAGTCGATTTAGATATTCTAGGTATTATCAACTGGCCCGGAGTTTTGAGATCGCAATAGACGTGAAGGACTATAATGCGTTAAGAGCTCGCTCAAGTACTGGGAGCTAAACCATTTAGTGCTTTGTAAGTAATCAGCAATATTTTCAAATGTATACGATGTTTAATAGGCAGCCAATGCAGTGTTGACAGAACCGGGCTAATATGGTCATACTTCCTGGTTCTGGTAAGAACTCGAGCGGCTGCGTTCTGGACCAGCTGGAGTTTGTTTATTAAGCGTGCAGGGCAACCACCCAGTAGAGCATTACAGTAATCTAGCCTTGATGGAAGAATGCGGTTTTACAGATACTATTCACGTGATTTTCATATGAAAGATTGCTATCAAAGAGCACACACACACACACAGGTTCCTAACCGACAACGAGGACTTGACAGAGCAGCCATCAAGTGTTAGACACACACACACACACACACACACACACACACGTCCAAGCACTTCCTTTATTGACCTGCTTTACAGTGCAGAAAACTAATGGAAGTGTTTCACAGATCAAATTCATTTGTATTGTTGTCATCTTTTCTTTTGAAAGAACAAACGCATGAATAGTAAATAAAAATAAAAAAATCTATGGAAGCTCGTTTCCGACAGAATTTTTTTTAAAAAAGATCATTGCAACTTTTTCCTCGCAATTCAGTAGATATACCATTGGAATTACGAGAAAAAAAGGCAGAATTGCCAGTTTATATCACAATTCAGATTTTTATCACAATTCCGACTCACAATTCGGCTTTTTTTTTTAAGTCAGCTGCAAGTTTCAAAGGCAGAATTGGTAGTTAAAAAGTCGCAGTTGCAAAAGAAAAAAAAGTCCAAATTGTGAGGGGAAAAAAAAGTTGCCACAGCGAGAAAAATTCAGAATTGTGAGATAAAAATGTATATCTTGCAAATCCATGTTTATGTCTCACAATTCTGACTTATAAACTCAGAATTGAGTTATAATGTCAATTCCGAATTTTTTCACTGCAATCGTGAGTCATCTCACAATTTAGTTTTATAACTCGCAATTCCGAGATTGTATCTCATAATTCTAAAAAGAGTCAGAATTGCGAGTTTATATTATACAATTAAGATTTTTCTCTCAGTTCCGACTCAATTCTGAGAAAAAAAAGAGTCAGAATTGTGAGCTATAAATTTGCAACTGCAAGTTACAAAGTCCGATTTTCAAAAGTCCAAAGTTAATTTGTATTCCGTTGCGTAAAGCTTCCATAGGGGCCGGCTGAGGATCGTCTTGAGCAGATTCATCACACGCTTCCAGCACTTCAGTGTCTTTCCCCGTCGATCACGTGTTCGTCACATGACCTGGTGAGTTTGGCGTGTTCTGATCCCGGTGTGTGTGTGTGTGTGTGTGTGTGATGAGTCTGGATCATCACGTCTGCTCTGGATCGTCACACACCAAACCCTGAGCGAACAGTTGCTGGAACACACTCGCTCTGGCCGGACTCTCCTCCACACACCCGAGGGTTTCCGAGCGCTCCTGAGGATCCCAGCCTCCTCCGTCTCCAGTGACGTCATCTGACGCGTCACCGTGGTCATCGCTCACACACACTTCGATTTCATGCCGGTTTTTACCAGCCAGGCCGAAGAACCCATTGCGGACGACATAGCGAACGCACTGCAGAACGACGTTCCTCTCGTGGCGGATGTCAGGAGCCAGAAGCTGCGCAACAAACACAGGCGAAGAAGATTAACATCTGCGTTAAGCCACGAATCAGACACACACACACACACACACACACACACAGGGCTACAACCACAACAGGACGCTACGTCTCATTTGCGCTTCTGCAGGTTCAAATGTGGTTTCAAACATGGGCGTAGATTACGCGGGGGACGGGGGGGACGTGTACCCCCCACTTTTTATAAAATGTAAATTCGTCCCCCGCACTTTTTCATAGGGCAAATGTGTCTATGACAACAAGCTGAGGTTTTCGTGGGTGTGTAATGTGTATAGCCTGCCCTACATCGAGATTTAAAATCCAAAGAAAGGATAGTCTATCTATATACGTGACTTTCACGCTTCCACGGTAATCAGTCACTAGCTCGTGCGACACGCCCATGCTCGCATTGTTGTCATGTGGTATCGGAATTGTGTTGCACAATGATGAATAACTCTGCCTATTTCTCTTGTTGAATAATTAACAAGTTTTGTTGTAAATTGAAAATATTCACTATATCCGCACAAATGTGCACTATTTTCAATCTTTTTTTATTCGTAATGTCTTTTATTTTCACAGATATGTTATCAAAGCCGTTCAAATTAGAATAAACATGGTGATTGTTAATGCTGAATTTGTATGTTCATGCATTAACAGCCATGCACGATCTGCTTGAATCAGGCAGTAACATGTGTAGACTATGATGTTTACCATAATTCGGTAACACTTTACAATTAGATAAAAAAGTTTGTAGACAAACTTGAAGTTCTCTTGAAAAAGCCTAACTAGAAAGTTTGAAGTATTTTTAAAAGCTTGACGTTTGAAGGTTTTCAATTGGAAAGTTTTAGTTTAGTAGGTTAAGACAGACTTTATAGGCTATTAAGGAAATGTTATTTTGCCAAAAGAAGAACTTTTATTTTTAAGTAAATGTTCTTTTTAAATCAGCCTACTTCAGTGTGATATTTAACCATATTATCATGCTTAACAGTAACACTGACAATTTGAATAATTGTAATGCGATGATCAGATATCTAAATCAGAGAATATCATATGTTTGGGCGGTTGACGGGTGGATTATTTATTTTTAACAGTGGATTCGGGGGACTCAAAGTGCACCAGATTAATGAATTTATTTTTAAAATGTACACAATTTTCTTCCGGGGGGGCATGCCCCCAGACCCCCCTAGAAGTAGGCTACCGAGATTCACCTACAAAAATACTGTGGGAAAAACAGTAGGCTATATGATGGTCTATGAAAAATAAAAATGTTATTATCTAATTAAAATACATGATCAGGATTTTACCACCTCCGCCTCGTTTTAAGCCAGGAAAACCCCTGCAATATAAAGTACGGAACATCTACATTTCTTTCTTTCTGTTTTATTGCTTTAAAAATAAATAGCATATTAAGCCACCTAACCTGTCAAAAAAAGTCTGAAAAAAAATGGTATTACACGTCTTGACATTCTGTCCCCCTCACTTTTGAAATGATGGCTACGCCCCTGGTTTCAAAACACACCTCATCCTTCCCTCGGGTCATTTAGACCCAGAAAATATTTGTGATTTTTTTTTATTTTTTTTTTATTGAGTGTTCATCAGAGGGGCTTTTGTTTTGTCGCACGAATACACACAAAGAGAAGACACACATACACACGGAAGAGAAACTGGCTTTAGGATATAGAGATATAAGATCCATATAGAGATATAAGCCCATCTAGAGGCATGAAATGTCAGGTATATTATTTATTTTCCACAAGAGGATCAGCAAAGACTCCCAATGTAAGATATTTAGAGCTGAATTAAAAGGGTTATGCATGAAAGTGTGAGTTATTTGGAATTTAAGTTGAAAGAATGTGAGGAATGTGCTTAGATTACTATTTATTTAATAATTATTGATCAAATCTAATTGAAAAAATTAAAATATTGCATTAAAAAATAGATTTTTTTCCCCAAAATGAAATAAAATAAGATTTCCGGACCAAAAAAAAAAATCAGTGTAATTTTAGGGCTTTGGGTCATTTTGACCGCGAGGGAAGGATTGGCAAACCTGATGTTATGTGCATTTTTTTAGTGAATCTGGATTAACATGTGTGTCACTGACCATCTCCAGAAGAGTCGCTCGATGTTGCTGTGGTTCAGCAGGGTTTCCTCTTCCTCTTCCTCTTCCTCTCCCTCTCCCTCGCCCTCGCCCTCTCCCTCTCCCTCTCCCAGCTGGGGCATGATGGGATTGCTGTGGGGCATGATGGGATTGCTGTGGGGCATGATGGGATTGCTGTGGTCTGTCTGTGTGTTTCTCTGTGTTCTTCTGGACAGGAAGCGCATCATCAGCCAGTAACGTCTTGTTCTCCTGTACAGCCAGAGTCGCTCTCAACACAGCAGCGTCTGAGTCACACAACACAAGAGTTCAGATGTTTCATGACGGACAGCACTGGAAAATACAACCACACTGGAAAAAGCCTGTTAAGTGCAGATAAATAGTTTTTGTCTCCTAAAAGAAAGCGATTCTGAACTGAAACGAGTCGTCAGTAATTCAGTCTCTGCTGATCCTGCGTAGGTTTGTAACTCATTAGCATAATGCCAGCCTGTGGTGTTGATTGGCTGAGCAGCGTCTCTTAGCTCCGCCCTCTAACACTAGTGTATCTGAGACTGGGAGAGTTCGGCTCGTGTTGTTCGTGTCGAGGAGACGCTGTTTTCTGAGATTGAGACGGTGAAACCCACGCCATCGCCACTGTTCGTATCACTGTGATCAAGAGCTGAGAGTCAGATATGATAATGAGCGTTTCTGACCAATCACAGCAGAGCAGCTCTCAGAGAGGCGGGGCTTAGAGAGACTGAATCCTTGATCGAAACGTTTTATAAATTAGTTAGAACTGATGATGTACCGTCTGGTTCTCCGTCGCTGTCGCTGCTGGTCATGGCGTCCCCGTAGCTGGACATCAGTGACCCGAGGGCAGAGGTCACGCACCGGGGGGCGACAGTGAGTCCCGTCTGCGGCTCGTCCTTATCCGACTCTGAAAGAACAAGACAGTTGATTATCCTGAGCGAAACCAAGCGGGAAGCTTCCGGTCTCTCTCTTGAATCAACACTGAAGAGAGTTAAACTGCAGTTCCTCCACTAGCCACTAGAGGCCGGCTGCAGAAGAGACTCAGTCCCATAGACCCGCATGTTAAAATCCCCAACTTTACAGCAGAAATAAACATGTTTACAGTCTGGTGCTAAAAGTGGTTTTGGTCTATATAGCTAGTTTTGCCCTTCATGGCGACTGTGAGGGGGGCGAATATTTTTATAACTCATCCGTTTAATTTATATTAAGCCTTAAAGTTCTGCATAATTAAGGGCGGGGCCACTTGAGTGACAGGTGGATTGCCGCTGATGTCACTGCTAGCCGTTTGTCTGCTGTCTGTTAGCGTCACATCACCTCAGCTAATCCGCCTCGCTAAATATTTTCGTTTATACGGGAGTGACGCTGCCAAGATGGCGACGGCCGGCTCCGCCCACTTTGGGCTTCAGAAACACTACGCACACTACGAACATATTATTCTACAGTCTATGCTGTCACACATGAGGAGATGTGAGTGAATCTCTGATGTTTCTGACCGGGTTCACTGTCGGCTAGCACTGCTAGCGGGTCTCGCTCCTGCGTCGGTCGCTTCTGACTCGATCCGCCACGGCTCCTCATGCGCCTGCACACAGATCACGTGTCACTCAGATCATCTGTCAATCACTCAGATCATCTGTCAATCACTCAGATCATCTGTCAATCACTCAGCTCAGATCATCTGTCAATCACTCGTTCGGACACAGCGACGGTCATAAACGCACCCGAACTGCGGCGTCTCCAGCACGTCTCCTCGCTGCTCCTTCACCTCCACCAGCTTCTGCTTCTTCTCCAGGTTCCTCAGCGTCGGATAGTGTCTGCGCACATGAGGAGCGTTTAATCCAGCGACACAACACTCGCACCAGCAGCGTACTCAATCCTGCTAGCAACATGCTAACAACATGTTATATCATGCTAGTAACATGCTTACAGAGGTGTAAAGTCCAGGTTCAGAAAGTAAATGTCCTCCTCAGTATTTTGTTCCAATCACCTGGATTTGCTAATTAGCACAGTTATTCAGCCAGGAGAACTAATTAGTGAAATCAGTTCATGAGTGGATTAAACATGTCAGGACTTTTACTTTCTGACCCCTGGACTTTACACCTCTGGTTGCTTGTGCTAGCAACATGCAAAATCATATTAACAAGGTGCTAAATCATGCTAGCAATGTGTTAAATAATGTAAACATGTTAAATCAAGTTAGCAATGTGCTTAATCATGCTAAATCATAACAGCAAAATGCTAAATCATGCTAACAACATGTTAAATCATGTCAGCAATGTGCTTAATCATGCTAACAACATGCTTAATACCAGAGAATGTCTAATTGAAGAGAATCGGCACTGTCTGGTCACTTCCGGTTTCTGAACTGGCTGCAGTAACACTCTCTGTCCACGCGGGGGCGCTGGCGGGCGAGTGCAGAATGAATGGGAGTCTATGGGGTTTCACCCCCAGAAATCCACTTTTCTCAGGATGTAATTTTTTGTCAAGTAATTTGAAAGTTGCATTCAAAAGGGAGGGCTAAGATAATACACTCAGCTGAAAATGGCTATATCTGTTCTAAAAATCAAAAATGTGATGACGTCACACAATAGCAGAATGCTAGCGTGTTCCGGCCAACAACGGCCTAACCTGTGAGATATCGAAAGGACATAAGTACTCGTTCATTCGACTTTTGGCCTATAATCTATATTGAACTTGCGGAATCAACAATAAAATCTATGTTGATTCAACGACAAGCAGGAGAAAGAGACACATTTAGCCGTTTAGCTCCATAGACTCCCATTCATCTGCACTCGCCCGCGATCGCCTCCAGTGGAGCTCTAATGGAACTGCAACCAAGATGATACACAATGGGGCTAATAGGAAGTGCCAAGGCTCTCCGTTAGACGGGCTCTGGTAATTCTGTTAACATGCTAAATCATAACAGCAACATGATAAATAATGCTAACAACGTGCTAAAACATGCTAGCAACATGTTAGCAATGTGCTAATTGGTGTTAAAAACGTGCTAACAACATACAAACACACCATATTCATCCGTTTTTACGAAAGTATTGGCTTCAAAACATTCAAACTACTTCACACTTTCTCAAGCCAACTTCAAAGTTTATTTTTATCTAGTTACATTTCGTTTTCAGGCATTTGCCACCGTCACCTTAGTATGGAATCTTGTTTCCACCACGAAATAAAAAGGTAATTGTGACTTTCTCTCACAATTCTGAATTTTTCTTTTGTGCAAATCTGAGAGTTATAAAATCTGAATTACAAGAAATAAAGTTACAATGGCAAGTTATAAAGTCAGAAATCAGAGATAAAAAGTCGCAATTACCGTTTTTATTTTAGTTTATATCACACAATTCTAAGATAAAAACGTATGAATTAGTCATTAAAGCTGCAGTCCGTATCTTTTCCTCTTTGTCGCCATCTCTCTGTTCGAAATCTGTAACTGCAGTGATTCGCGGAATTATTATCTTTACGTGGGTTGTAAACAGGGCTGGACTGGGACAAAAAATCGGCCCGGGCATTTTGGCCCGGACTGGCCCACTATATAACACAACCGAACTTTGCACGCCCTTGAATATGTATACCAACTCCTATTAAAACCACTAATGCCATAAGTGAATAGGAGTGAGTAAGAGTTAACCGACGAAATAACTACTAAGTTGAACTAGACTCCACACAGTGATGAATCCTAAAGAAAGCTATAAGCTGGGATAGCAATACCGTTTTTTCCCACAGGTTTTTGGGAAATCTGTGGTGAGTGCACCTCTGTCCCTCTAGGGGGGTTCGGGGTCATGCTCCCCCGTCAGAAAATTTTGTGCTTTTTAATGTTAAATTCATCAATCTGGTGCACTTTGAGAGTTAAAAATAAAGAGCTCCATCCCATATTCAGTGTGCAAATTGAACAAAGAAAAACTCAAAACTCTTTTAGTTGTGATATAGTGTCTGTCTACATTACACTACTACATAATAATAGTTATAATATTAATCCCATGGCAGTAATAGCCATATGTTGTAAAACAAATGCACTGAAAAATAAAAGCAACTTTCATAAATAGTTTCGTACTAATTTCTATACAGAGATAAGCACATGATCTTTTATTTTGACGGAAACGGCATCGAGCTTTTATTTTGAAGAATAATATGGTTTACAAACTCATTACTCATTATTGTCTCATTACAATTCTAATCAAATGCGTAATCGTCAAATATGCAGATGTGTAAATAATGCGTAACTGGGTAGTGGGTTCCTACATAGCCTATAATAATAATAATAATAATAATTTTTATTTGTAATGCACTTTACACATGAAGGAACATATCTCAAAGTGCTACAAGTACACAGATAAAACAATAAAATAGATTAAAACACTTAACAAAATTAAGAACAGTTGGTGACAACAAGAATAAGATATGTTTTAAGAAAAAGCAGTTAAAAATAAGTGGGTCTTTAATTTATTTTTGAAGACCTCTATAGACTGTGGCGCCCTCAGGTGAATAGGCAGAGCGTTCCACATTCGGAATCTCCCTATCTCCCATAGTACGGAGTTTGGACTTAGGAACCTGAAGTTTGTGGCTGTCAGAAGAGCGGAGATGTCGGGGTGGATTATGCAAAGTAATGAGTTCTTTCAGGTACACTGGTGCGCTACCGTAGACACACTGATAGGTCAGGAGACAGATCTTGTAATCAATCCTGAATCTAACAGGGAGCCAGTGAAGTTTTTGGAGGATGGGTGTGATGTGCTCAAATTTGCGAACCCCCGTCAGGACCCTGGCAGCGCAGTTCTGAATGTACTGCAATCTTTGCATGCTCCTGCCAGGGATCCCAACAAGGAGTGAATTGCAGTAGTCAAGCCTGGAGGAGACAAAGGCATGCACCAGCATCTCTGCATCAGAAAAAGAGAGGGAGGGGCGGAGTTTGGAAATGTTCCGCAGATGAAAAAGTGCGGTTTTACAGGTGTGTGGGATGTGAGTGTTAAATGATAGATGGGCGTCAAATCGAACCCCCAAGTTTGTTATAGAAGATGTCAAAGAAATATCATGGCCAGCAAATGAATAGACTGTCAGGGGGGAAGATCGGAGTTGGTGTGGGGTCCCAATGAGGAGACCTTCAGTTTTGGTGCTGTTTAACTGGAGGAAGTTGTCCGTCATCCATGCCCTTGTCTCCTCCAGGCAGGCATTTAGAGTGGAGAGTGAAGGTGTAGATGAAGTGGGGTCCAGCCTGACATAGAGCTGAGTATCATCAGCATAGCAATGGAAAGCAACGCCATGCTTGCTGATGATGTGGCCCAGTGGGAGCATATAAATGGAGAAGAGAGTAGGGCCGAGAACGGAGCCCTGGGGCACTCCACAAGTAACTGTGTAGGGCCTCGACCTGGCTCCTCCCAGGGCCACATACTCAACTCTATCAGTCAGGTAGGATCGAAACCATTGAAGTGCTGTATGTGAGATGCCAATGAAGTGTTGCAGACGATGGAGTAAGATAGTATGGTGAACAGTGTCGAAGGCGGCTGTGAGGTCCAAGAGAATAAGGAGAGATGGAGAGCCCTGGTCAGCAGCCACAAGAAGATCATTTGTGACTCTGACCAGGGCTGACTCTACGCTGTGGCCGGAGCGGAAACCAGACTGAAATTTTTCATAGAGACTATGTGAATGAAGATGATTATGAATTTGAGTTGAGACAACTTTTTCAATGACTTTGGAGAGAAATGGAAGGTTGGAAATGGGCCGATAATTTGAGAAGATATCCGGATCGAGGGATGGTTTCTTAAGCCGAGGGTTGATAAGCGCAGTTTTAAGCGAGATTGGAAAATGACCCGATTGCAGGGAAGAGTTAATGATAGTAGTGATGAGAGGACTTAAAGAATTAGTATTTGATTTGACCATGGCAGTGGGAAAAGGGTCCAATGAGCACGTTGAGGGTCTCATACTGTGTATGAGAGTCTCAACCTGTCTATGTGTAGGAAGAGCGAAATGAGAGAGTGTTGGGGCAGAGGTTGGGGTGGTGGATGGAATGACATTGCTTTGTATTAGGTCAGCGCGGATGGTAGTTATTTTTGTAGTGAAAAAATCAAGGAATTTATTACACTGATCGTCAGTATTGTTTTTATGCGTCAGGGCAGGTGGAGTGAGAAGATAATTTATTGTTTTAAAGAGCTGTTTTGGATTTCTTGGATTATTGTTAATAATATTGGAGTAATATTGTGACCGTGCCTGACTGAGTAATTTGGAATATGATCTTTGGTGCTCTCTATAGGCGATTTTATAGACAGTGAGCCCAGCGGCAACATAGCGCCTCTCAAGGACTCTCCCAGCCGCCTTCTGTCTACGAAGCGCATCAGTGTACCACGGAGCAGGGCGTGTAAATGTTACAGTCCATGTCTTGAGGGGCGCATGGGCATCAAGTATCCCTTTTAATCCAATATTGTAATGATCGACAAGCGCGTTGGTAGTAGAGTGATCGGCAGATATGATTAGTTTTTGTAGATCATGTGACAGATGTTCAAGGTTAATTTCTTTTGTTCTGCGAAAGCAGATTTTGTGTTTAGGTTTATTGAGTGAGGTCAACAATGAAAAGTCAAATGATATGGCATTGTGATCAGATATGCCTAAATCATGTACATGAACATTGCTTACTGGAAAGTTTGTTACAATGAGATCCAATGTATGCCCTTTGGTATGTGTAGGGACTGTCACGAGTTGCCTGAGGTTGAGTGAATCAAAAAGTTGTAGTAGTTCGGTAGTATATAAACTTGTTGGAGATTCAACATGAATGTTAAAATCTCCAAGAATTTCCACATTGTTTGATGTGGTGCAAACTGGCAAAAGTAACTCAGTTAATTCTGCAATAAAACACGGGTGTGATTTTGGTGGTCGGTATATGAGGATGGTTGTAAATGGAATGGGTAATTCACAATGGGTAATTCAGCCTAATGGTGTGTTCACACCGAACGCGAATTTAATTATTTGGGCGAGTAGATTACATACAAAGTCAATGCAAAGACGCGAATAGACGCATCATTTGCGCCGGGCGTTGCGAATTGTGCGACGCGTTTGCCGCGAATGTCTTCCGCGCAAGTTGAAAAATGTGAACTCAAGCGAATGTTCAAGCGTCTAACTAAACGCGATAGACGCGTATTTGACGCTCTATTCGCGTTCGGTGTGAACACACCATAAGTGTTGTGACAGTAGCCTAGTTCTGCTTACCACAGTTCTCTGCACTCACTCATCTCTCTCCTTATCCTCCTCTCTATCCTCATCAGACACTTGAAGGGCCTTTGAAGTTTCTTTTTTCACGCTATTTCTCTGCACATTCCTTGCGTTTCTTCTCCATCGCTCTGACTATTTTGACAGATACACACTGACACTGCTCGCTCACTCAGAGCTCAAAGGGGGAGGAGTTTAAAGATGTGATTGGACCAGCCCAGTGTCAATCAAGAAAATAACCAATGGGCTGCTGATTTACGCGTTTCATCATGCGCCGGTCTGTGAGAAAAAGAAAAACCTACGCTGACTTTTTTGTCCAATGCATTACACCGGCACAAAGATCCCAGAGCCGCCAATTAAACAAAACTAAACGCAATGGGCCGCCGATGTACGAGTTTTATGGGCCGTTCAGAAAAAAAAAAAAAAAAAAAAAAATAATTAAGTATGAGATGTATCGGCCCACAAAGCACGTCGGCCCACCGGGCAAATGCCCGGTATGCCCGATGGCCAGTCCAGCCCTGGTTGTAAATCGGCATGAAACAGCGCGGATGAACACAGTGCTTTGAGGCGAGTGCTGCTGTCAGTCACCGCGCTGTGTGGATACTGGCATACAGAATCACAGATTCACTTTTTGAAAGTTTGACCAACATAAGAATTTTCATAAGAAAATGTCTTCTGAACAAGTAAGTAAAATCCATTTTTGTTCTGACCAACTAAGGGGGAAAAAGCATTCGACATGATAAGCTTCGTTAGATTTAATCAACGCGATTTACAGCAACCGTGCAAATGATAGCCTACTTTGTTCTCAAATTGTTCATGTTAACAACATCAGCATTGCGTGACTAATGTTAAATTTAATGTGTTTTATGATTACCTGTGTAGTTCAGAAATCATATTCTCCATAATAGCAAAACGAGAAAGGCACAACAAAGGAAACTCCATAACTGTGTGAATTAAGAAAACGTACTGTTACACGATTGAACTATTGAAATGTCTTACTTGTTCAGCAGAAAAAAGCGTCTCTTCTTCCGTTTCGAACCCCTTCAAAACACGGAGTTCACGCACTTTTCAAAAGCCCCGCCGATGTTTAAATCCTTGTGTTCGCATGAGACGGTTTCTTTCTCTTTCTCTAGCCACCTTAAATCCGAAGTACGAAGTCTTTTGGGTTTTATAACTGCTGAATCTCCAGTTGACACTGATGATTGTTGTTTGGATCTTTCTGGATGCCATAAGTTTAATCATGTAAAGTGCTGCGAGAAAAGCCTATACATCTAAACATCTCGTCACGCGCAGTATAGCCGGCTAGCCGAAACTCCTTCTTTATGTGTACGGGTGTGACGTCATGACGCAAAGACATGCTCGAATTTCCCGCGGAAACCCACCAGTACCACTGGAATTAAAATCATTATTACAAGCTAACCGTTTTGAATCTAGCTATGGCAAGCAGATAGTTTTGACCACTGGCAGAATAAGTTTTTTTTAATATAATTATTTTGGATTATTTTTAACTTAAAAAAAGTTACGGACTAGAGCTTTAACTCACAAATATATAGTCAGAATAGTAATTTCATATCTAAGAAACAACCTGTTATGTCCTGTTTATTACAGTGAAGCTGCTGTGAAACGAGCGGTGTTAAGCGGTGTAAAGCCGACTGCGACTGTAAACATCTCTCACCGGCGTCTCTCTTCTCTCCACTTGGCGATGTCCTCTGCCGAGTCCAGTCGGATCCGCTTGGCTCCCGGCGCGTGGTTCTGCCGGAGAACATCCGCGTCAGCGTCAGGTTTAAACATGCAAGACCCACAACTACACCAGTGTCCACACGACACCATTCTGTTTATCATCAGGTTTGTCTTCTGTCTCTTTAAATGTCTGAGATGGATTCTGATTGGCTGTCAATGTTTTTTTAGTGCTGTGCAACAATTAATCGCATCCAAAATAAAAGTTTGTGTTTACATAATATATGTGTGTGCTGTGTATAATTATTTTGTAGCCTATATATAAATACACACACGTGCATGTATATATTTAAGAAAAATATGTTATTTATAAATAAAATATTTATATATAATATAAATGTATAAATATATACATGCATGTGTGTGTATTTATATATACAAACTAATTATGCACAGCACACACACATATATTATGTAAACACAAACTTTTATTTTGGACCAGCACTAATATTTATCATACATCAGCTGGAAAGTAATTGTAACAATATGGTTATAGTTGCTGTAACTGTATTCTCTTAAGAGTTAGAGTGATTATTAAGCCGTTATGGTTATCGTCTCTCTGGACGGACGCTTACGTTTCTCCAGTGGATCTTCACCAGCTTCTCATGTCCAGTGAAGAGACAGTCTTCAACAGAGCACTGTAAACAGAAGATCACACCGTAAGACACACACACGCGCGCACACACACACACACACACACACACAGACGGACACACACACACACACAGACAGACACACAAACACACACACACACAGACACACACAGACGGACACACACACAGACACAGACACACACAGACACACACACACAGACACAGACGGACACACACACAGACACAGACACACACACACACACACACACACAGACACTCACACACACAGACACTCACACACACAGACACTCACACACAGACACTCACACACACAGACACAGACACACACTCACACACACAGACGGACACACACACAGACACAGACACAGACACACACAGACACACACACACACAGACACAGACACACACACACACACACAGACAGAGACAGACACACACACACACACACTACCTTCACGTGCTGAGAGATGTGCTCATCATATTTGTCTTGGGTTTTGAAGCCTCGTTCACACGAGTCGCAGAAGTGACTGAACTCCGGCTCTTTCTGCTGCTTCTGCTCAGAGAAACAAGCAAAACTGTCATATTTGACTGGACATACGCACTAATACTATATTTAAATCATATTTGTATTACCTTTTTACCCCTCTGGTGCTGCCCTGATCCCCGCCAGACACCGCGCTGATGATGATGATGATGATGATGACCTGGTGGAAATTACATGAGGTCAAACCAAACAAATGAGAAACATTATATTTGTGTATTTTGACTCAGACCCCACAAATGAAAATATCTGTTTTGTTATTAATTTAATTTTTCAAATTTTACGTTAATTAAGAACGTTATAAGAACTGTCAGGATCTGCTCTGCCTTTGAACTCTTCATGCGAAAACTTTTATGCGTTACCGACACTTTAATACTATATCATCTGAACATGTTACCGACACTTTAATACTATATCATCTGAACGCGTTACCGACACTTTAATACTATATCATCTGAACATGTTACCGACACTTTAATACTATATAATCTGAACGCGTTACCGACACTTTAATGCTATATCATCTGAACATGTTACCGACACTTTAATACTATATAATCTGAACGCGTTACCGACACTTTAATGCTATATCATCTGAACATGTTACCGACACTTTAATACTATATAATCTGAACGCGTTACCGACACTTTAATACTATATAATCTGAACGCGTTACCGACACTTTAATACTATATAATCTGAACGCGTTACAGACACTTTAATACTATATCATCTGAACGCGTTACCGACACTTTAATACTATATAATCTGAACGCGTTACAGACACTTTAATACTATATAATCTGAACGCGTTACCGACACTTTAATACTATATCATCTGAACGCGTTACCGACACTTTAATACTATATAATCTGAACGCGTTACAGACACTTTAATACTATATAATCTGAACGCGTTACCGACACTTTAATACTATATCATCTGAACGCGTTACCGACACTTTAATACTATATAATCTGAACGCGTTACAGACACTTTAATACTATATCATCTGAACGCGTTACCGACACTTTAATACTATATCATCTGAACATGTTACCGACACTTTAATACTATATAATCTGAACGCGTTACAGACACTTTAATACTATATCATCTGAACGTGTTACCGACACTTTAATACTATATAATCTGAACGCGTTACCGACACTTTAATACTATATCATCTGAACGTGTTACCGACACTTTAATACTATATAATCTGAACGCGTTACCGACACTTTAATACTATATCATCTGAACGTGTTACCGACACTTTAATACTATATCATCTGAACATGTTACCGACACTTTAATACTATACAATCTGAACGCGTTACAGACACTTTAATACTATATCATCTGAACGTGTTACCGACACTTTAATACTATATCATCTGAACATGTTACCGACACTTTAATACTATATCATCTGAACGCGTTACCTCCGTACTGCTGCTGTCCGTGACCCCGCGGCTGCTGGTTCCACTGGCCGGGGTTCGAGCTCCAGGGTCCGGCGGGCACGGGTTGAGTCCAGCTCCAGCTCCAGTCTCTGCTCGCCTCGAACCGGCGGCCGGTCCACGGATCCCCCGGTGAAACGGAAGCCTCTGATGCTCCGCTGAAGCTCGGCGGCGGGTACCGCTCCTGCTCACCCGTCATGACCTGCTCCTGCTCGTGTGTTTTAGATCGGCTTCTCCCTTATACAGTCACATAAACACAAACATGTGCTGCAGAAACATGCTGTGTCCTGCACACGTGCGCGTTCACTTTACGTCACTTCCTGACGCATCGAGCGCGTGCTGACGCTAGAGGGCGCTGTACGTCACACAAACACAACTGCTCCAAACATAACCAAATTTTTTATTCACAAATGTAAATTTTCACAGAAAAATCATTTTTATTTTATTTTAAGGAAGAATTTGATATGTATCTAAACTCCTTGAAGAAATCTAAAAACTCTACTGCATGTAAGACTGTCATGGTGTACATTTAATATTCTATGTTGTTTTTATTGTAACCCTCATTATTGTCTATTATTGTTCATTACTGCCATTTAAAGTCCCCTGTTAAAACTCTTTTTCTTAGGTTTCGTACTGATGTAGATGTTAAATGTGATTTCTGTGGGACCGAGAAAGAAAATGTGGTCCACTTATTATTTTAATTGCATATAGCTAAATGTTTAGGGTAGATTTGGAATGTTTTCTTTGTAAATGCTTCAGGATGAAAATATATTTTTATGAAAAAGGTGTATTTTTATTTTATTTTAATAGACAAAGATTACCACCAAATGTGGCCTTTATGGTGAATCTTTGGTTATGGGGAAATACCATTTACATAAACAAAAATAGGCTAAAGGAACACCAAACTTTTTGTTATTTCAGATAGATATGAAAAATTATATTGAGTTACTACTTGGGTTGAAAAATAGTAAAGCAAAACGCATAGGTCTTTATGTGAAGCTTTTATGCTATTTATATGATGATCTCATACCTGTTATTTTTCTGTTTATATTATTTTCTTTATTTTTTCATGTATCATTAATTTATATATTACACTGTATAATTTATTTTACCTATTTGTTGTAGTCTATTTCTACTTTTTATACTATGTTGGATTAATGTCGTGTTTATTATTTGTATGTGATTGGCAGTAAATTAAAAAAAAAAGAAGTTTTTTTTAGTCTTGTTTTAAATTCCCCTGTAGTCACTAATTTTATCATCTTTGATCACCAAAATTACATAACTTTTTTTCCTTGAAAAAAAAAATCTTCATGCCTTAGCTTGAATGTAACTCGACACCCTCGCCTCATTTAGTATGCGCGGTTCTATGACTATGCAAATGAGCCCCGCCTCCACTCACTCCCTCAGCTCAGAGATCCACTGGTTGACGATCACACGTTGATCTGATTGGTTACAAGGTCGTTTGTGACGTCAGAAACACCAGCGATTTCAAACCGTGTTTTTGAGACTGTCTTTGGTTCACTGCAGTTTTAAGGAGGAAATACTCAGCAATGCTGTCGACTTATGAACTTACACATGGCTTGTGTTAAAGCGTATTAATAACACCACATACACACATAAACAACATTAAACGCTGGATTTACACCACAGGGGGACTTTAAAAACACAGTATAATATAATTCTGATTTGTTTCATTAAGTTCATCAGTATTTTACAACTAATTCTCTAATAAACACGTGAAAAAAGACAATTAAAATTGAACTTCATAGTAATTTTTGTGTACTTTATTTGGCCAAAGTTGAATCTTAAATGTGTTTACTTTCAGAAATGACTACTGTAAACAAGCTCACGGTGATCATTATCAACAGACGCTCATTACAAGCCTGTTCAAACACCTTTTTTATTAAAGCATAAATATGATTGAAAACAATTTACATACATGTAATCATACAAATGAAGCTTTTTCTTTCATAATCAACAAGCTGAGCACAAATAGTGAAAGCGGCCAGAAACTTAGCTTGAGTCTCCGTTCAAAATGAGCTTTAAAAATAGTTTTAAAATCTTTAACTTTTGGTCTTTTTCACTGGAAAACAGTTTCTTATGTTCTTCATCGACTGACACTTGCATAGATAATATACAAAATATACAAAATATTACAATAAACAATTAGACTTAAATATGAGAGTACTTTGTTAATAGTTAGACTTTATTGTCTGACTTGAAAAGGCACTGGATGTGAAGCGTCTGGTCACATGACTCTGGCGAGGGCTCCTGATCTTCGCTGATTAACGGCCAGTAGTTTGGGTTCTCTTCATACCACTCTACTGAAAACAACAGAGACGTGTTACACTCTTCATCATCATCATCATCATCATATTATTATTATTATTATTCAGCACATGTGTAATGTTTGTTTACTGGTGCGCCTGATTCCTTCCTTCCACGTGACTCTGGGTCTCCATCCGAGCCGGCGCAGCTTCTCGGACCTCATGGGATACCGCAGCTCCGTCACGGGACTGGAGATGAAGAGCGGGAACGATGGTTACTTACTTTATGGAATATCACTCATAAATATGACCTGCAAACATTTGACGGGACACACACCGGTCTTCAACAAACTCCATCCAGTCGTCCAGCGCGTCACAGGAGACATTCTTCACTTTCTGTGAACGGATCAATGAAACACACGTTAAACATAGACAACCGATTAACTAATGAGGATTTATGATTATGAAGCATGTCCACCCAGCAGTGATTGGCTGAAATCAAAACAAACATTTAATGAGTGTCATGATTTGATGTTTCTGTTTGAAGGGCTCCTATGATGCTACAGGTTCACATTCATCCGAGATCAATAACACTTTAATTCCCTCATAATCTCCACTGCAGCTTCAGCTCTTTCTCTCAGTGTCTGAGACGCTTCCATCGAGGATTCAGTCTCTCTAAGCCCCGCCTCTCTGAGAGCTGCTCTGCTGTGATTGGTCAGAAACGCTCATTATCATATCTGACTCTCAGCTCTTGATCACAGTGATACGAACAGTGACGATGGCGTGGGTTTCACCGTCTCAATCTCAGAAAACAGCGTCTCCTCGACACGAACAACACGAGCCGAACTCTCCCAGTCTCAGATACACTAGTGTTAGAGGGCGGGGCTAAGAGACGCTGCTCAGCCAATCAACACCACAGGCTGGCATTATGCTAATGAGTTACAAACCTACGCAGGATCAGCAGAGACTGAATTACTGACGACTCGTTTCAGTTCAGAATCGCTTTCTTTTAGGAGACAAAAACTTCATTCATCTGCACTTTACAGACATTTAACATTGATTTCTTACACACTACATGAAACATAATATCTGAAAAAAGCATAATAGGGGCAACATGTCAGAGGTTGTTTATTCTGACATCTATCACTGGCGTGTTTGTCATTCATGACACAACTGAAGGCGTCTGTAACCTAATATAACACCGAGCTGGTCATGTGATTCACATTTCAATTCACATTTATTTGTATAGAGTTTTTCACAATACACATCGTTTCACAGCAGCTTTACAGAAAATGCATGAGTCCATATTACAATCTAGAGTGATCTGCTATCAGAGGTAACTGTCTAAGTTATGTATTTCAGATATACAAAATTACAGTTAGCGAAAAATGCATTAATTTAAACCGTGTAATCATTTAATGCAGAAACAATGATCTCATTGAAGTAATGAATACTTTGTTAACAAATGATTATGACATATAGAAAGTTGTACCATTTTCACTAGTTCTCTGGCGAGTTGAATGATGGGAATTTCAAAGCTGCTCCCGATGTTGTAGATCTCCCCCAGAATGCCCTTCTCCATCACCGTCAGGAAGGCGTCTGTGACGTCGCTCACGTACAGGAAGTGTCTGGACTGCAGGCCGGAGCCCTGGATCGTGCTGAACAACAGACTCAGGCATTATTAAAGCGCACGTTTCTTGATGTATTTTCCAGCTTGAATGTTGATTATTCTCCTCATATTCTCCATTGTTGCGGCTCCTCTCTTCCCAGTCTGTCAGTAACGCTCTGTTTACTTCCTGTCTCTATGAAGCCCCTCCTTCTGAAAAGCACACTTTGCTCTGATTGGTCGGCTGGAGCAGTGTGTTGTGATTGGTCGAGTACTTCGAGTGTGTTTGGGAAATGCCCCGCCCCTTTCCATAACCGCCAGTTTAACACACTACTAACTAACTCAACCAGGCCCCGCCCCTTTATTCTGCGCATTAATTATTATAATGAGGAATATTGTGACGTGTTCGTTCCCGGGAGAAACTCAAGATACAATGGAGGCGTTTCAGGAGTTCAGGAACACTGATATAGAGAACACACACTGAATATTACAGGCTCTGTTCGACTCACCATTTCTGCTCCTGCTGAATGAGTGACAGGAATCTGGGAATGACCTGATCAGACACAATCACAGCGTGTTAATCAGTGAACACCGACACACTGGCCTCGCGCTCCTGCTCACGTACCTTCTCATGATACTGACGCGGCCCGTAAACGTTACTACTCCTCGTGATCACAGCCGGGAACTGAGGAGAGAGAACACACACCTTAATCTCACACAACCAGTCGGAGAACACATCTGGCTCGTTCATGACAAATCACACTGAACTCTGTTTTTAAGAGTTTGTGGCATTATTTACACAGATCAGATCAGTCATCATTCTGTTACTTTACATTAGTAAACATGAACTCAAACAGCATTTATTAATCTTACTTCATGTTAATCTCCACAATTCCTACTAAACATCAAAAGTTGAATCGGTCGAGATTAGTTAATGCACAGTGAACAAACATGAATATGAACATCCGTATGTTAGTTAGTGCATTAACTGAAGGTAACAAATGAGACCTTATTATGAAATGTAATTATGTTCACTGCATTACAGTATAAACTACAGACGCCTGTTTCCACAAGGAAATAAAAATGTAAAAAAGGACTTTTCACTCGCAACTCTGACTTTGTATCTTGCAAATTGTTTGTTTCTCAGAATTGTGAGATATAAACTTGCAATTGCGAGAGAAAAAAATACATAATAATTACCCTTTTTATTTTTCCCCCCCAGGCGGAAACAAGCTTCCATAATAAACTAAAGAGAATCAGCATTACAAATAAAAGTGAAAAGTAAAACATTTAGTCTCACTACAGAAATTAAAAATGAGCATTCTTCATGCAGTATTTCTGTGAGGCACATGTAGTTCCTCGACTCTTCATCCTCCTCCTCCTCCTCATACCTTGTGCTGGGTCCAGTAGGACATCACCATGTTCTCCGCGGCAGCTTTGGAAGACGAGTACGGGTTGGTGGGTCTTTGTGGACTCAGTTCATCGAACGGCTGCAAACAAGAGGAGAATCACACGACTGTGAACACCAACAGCTTCAGTTCGCTTCCCAAGCGCTCAGCGTCGGTTTATAGAGCTATAAAAGCTATTACAAGAACTATTTCTGACGCAATGTGTCAGTACATGTGAATGTCTAGGTTGTATTTGCACACAACTTCCAACAAAATGAAGTTCCTAAACGTAAGTTAGGGAGGAGCGAGCCCATCCAATCTTTCAATCAACAAACAGAGTATATAAGCAGCCGCTTACCTCTCCCTAGTATCAGCTGTTCCAGTATCCCTCCACCTCCCCAAACTCCACCTTCATCTTAGGTACCTTGCCCTTTAATTAACAGGTCCTACATTTAGCCACTGGGGGGTATATCAGAGCTCGAGTTGAAGCTGCTTCATCGAGCCCCTCTCCAGCGGACAGCAAGCCAAATAAGTTTAACCTAATATCTTAAAGATTTTATGGGCAAACGAACTCGTTAATCTCCATTACTTTTAATAAATGTTCCAAACAAGCGCATGAAGCTTGACCAGCTCTGCTCCCAAACACTGCGATACGGACACGCCTTTACTGAACCTTCGGATCACACTGCAAATAAAGTGGCATTTCTGACTTGTTTTCCAGTGAAGATGTCTAAAGATTCTTAACTCAAGACACATTTACTTCTTATATACAGTTGATCGAAGTAAAGTGAGTTTATGATTAAAACAAGAAGAACTTCAAAACCTATCGACGTATATTTGTTTTATTTCAAGTGTAAAACCAGATAATTTCTCAGTAAACATGTGCTTCTCTTCCAGTGAATGGGTCTAATTCATGAAACATTCGTAAATATACGAGTAAATATGCGAGTGATTTGCGCGTAAAGAGACCTTCCCGAAAACTCCTTTCCTGATTCACAAATACTTCGTAAACGTCAGATGTGATAGTGAAGTGTGTGTGTGTGTTAAAGAATTCCAATCAGTCGTAAATGGGACGCTCATTCTTAATTAGCATAAATCCCGCCCATTAAATCCGACTGACAACTATATATGGGCGTCATATTATGACATGATTATGCGAATGAAAAAAAAATTCTCAGATGCAGAAATTGAAGTTTTATTATCAGAATTTCATTCAAAACGCCACATTTATTTTCAATTGTACATAGTGGCGTATCGGGTCCTAAAAAAAAAGCAAGCTTGGCAGCATATTACAGATGCAGATACTAGAGTTTCATCTGTTAATCGAACATTCCCAGAAGTGAAGAAAATGCTTCGACATTAAGCTTGAGAGCAAAAAACGAATTAGTTCACTTCGGAAAAATAGTATTCAAACTGGAGAAGGACCACCATCGCAGATGCTATTACTGCTCTCATAATAAGAAAAACCGTATGTAATTACTATATATAATATTTTTTCAAAATGCTGTGCAAATATGTACCCGATTAAGGTGAATTAAAATGCAGCCTTATTAATGAGCAAAACGTTCGGGTGTTAAGCGCACTATGTACGCGTGGCTGGAGCAGGTGTAGATTTCTTGTGTACCAACTAACATTTGGAAAATACGAACATTTTAACCCTTGTGTTATGTTGCGGGTCAATTTGACCCGCTTCGATTTTCAAGTTGTTGGAAATACTGGTTAACCTTTGTTTTTTTTCTTGATATTTTGTGACTTTTTCTCATTTATCATGATGAACATGCATGCAAAGTTTCAACATGCTGATGTGTTTTGACATATACAAACAAAATTACTGTTACGTTCGTGATGTTCGCGGGTCAATTTGACCCTCATAGACAGCCATTCAAAAGCAACTGTACAGACACAAAATAAAAACATTTATTTTCTGTATGTCAGGGCACTTCAACTCCAGTTCTAACGTGCAAGTGCATCTAAAAGTGCTCTAACCCTAACCAAACACACTTGAAAAAGATAAAATTACAGTGTTCAGAATTATTTGCAAATTACAGATGAAAATCTTTGTCAGACACAGATAGTAAAATAAGCTCTCATTTCAATATTCAAGATATCTAAAATACCTAGCTTTTAACCAAAACTTTTATGTAGGATTTTCAAAGGCAGATTCACAGAGCCAAAAAATAAATAAAAAACATTTATTTGATGTATGATTTTGTTATGTTTGGTTTCTCACTTCCCAGTGAGTGAATAATGAAACTAGGAAAATAGGTCTTAGGAAACTAGGGAAAGTTAACTTAGGAAAATGAAAAATTTTCATTATACAGCAATTTTTTTTTTCAGTTACGATGTTCAAAGCATAAAATGTAAAAAAAAAAAATATATATATATATATATATGCAAAAAAATCAGTATACTGTTTATTTTCCAATTTTGTCAAAACAAAACTGTTTTAAAAAATGTTTTTAAAACATTTTCATAAATCATATTTTCAGATATAATGTTTTTGTAATGTTTGACAAATGCTGATATTAAAAGTTTACAGTTTGTATCTAAATCTTTGTTGTTTTTCATAGTGTGATTTTTGAGGAATTGTATTGAATCCAATTAGGGTCAATTTGACCCGGTCCATAAGGGGAGTACACAGAATTCGAACAGAACACAAGGGTTAATGAATCCGAAAATTTACGCCAGAACCACTTTACACACGATTTACACAAAAATTCGTTCTGCTCGTGTTTCATGAATGAGACCCAATGTGTCTTGATGTAAGAGTGTTTAGATGTGTGCGCTGGAGAACGAGACAGAGGAATGTGCAGATGTGTCAGAGGTTATCGAGTCTCCGGCGGGGAACACACCTGGTCCACACTGTGTCCGTACACCTCATCAGTGCTGATGTAGATGAAGCGCTGGACTCGAGCCCGGAGCGCCGCTCGCACCAGAACACCGGTGCCGTCCACATTCACACGCATGAAGCGCGCCGGCCGCAGGAACGAGCTCTCTGGGGCATAAAGTGCATTAATGTGATGAAAATCCCTTCATGAGGAATTCAATCCTTCAAGTTTTTCACAACACACAGTTTCACAGCAGCTTTACAGAAAGTGCATGAGTCCATATTACAATTTACAGTGATCTGTTATCAGAGGTAAATGTCTAAGTTATTACTTCATTTTATCTGCATTAAATTACTACATTTTTTAGCTAACTGTGATTTTGTGTATGTACATTTCTGAAATACATAACTTAGATATTTACGTCTGATAACAGATCACTGTAAACTGTAATATGGAATATGTGAAACGATGTGTGTTGTGAAAACGTTATACAAATAAAGGTGAATTTAATTGAAGTATTTCAGAAATGTACATATACAAAATCACAGTTAACGAAAAATGCATTAACTTAAACAATGTAATAATTGAATGCAGAAACAATGAGCTCATTGAAGTAATGCATACTTGTTTGTTAATAAACGATCATGAGCGTCACACGTTTCCTCACCCACGTGAGTTTCCGCCGCACAGTGGAAGACGACATCGATGCGCTGCGAGGAGAAGAGGTGGTCTATGAGAAGCGGATCGCAAACATCGCCCTGAAAGAAGGACAGACCCGTCAGCAGGACAGTCAGGAACAGCAGAGTTATGAGCAGGGTGGCGTCTCTATACCGGGACGAAGGTGTAGCAGCGGTTTCCCTCGACGCCCCGCAGGTTCTGCAGACTCGAGCAGCGCTGGAGCTGAAACACACGAGCGGCCCGTCCACACACACACCTCACTCACTGCACTGCATATCGTCCCACTATTTCATGTTTAACCTGTAAACTCTTATTACTGGAATACAGTCATGAAAATCAAACCATTTATTATTAAAACCAGCATTTTATTCAATAGCATGCTGTATACTTATTAAAAAAGAAAAAGGCTTTAGTAAAGTACTTGTGTGATATTCAACTTAACCCTCTGGTGCTCTTCACGTGTCGGTCAAAAATTACTGAAATTTGTTTTTATTTCAATGAAATTAAAGGCACAATATGTAGGTTTTTTTCGCACACAAGAGGGCGCATTTTCCAACAATAACACAGGCGTAGGTTGATGACGCAGTGATGAGCTGAATGATGGTACTTGCTGTCAAGCTGATGCATCTAATAATGTTTATGGATGAGTGCAAACATTCATGCTTTTTAACATTACAGCGGTATGAAGCAGGTCGCGATTGCTAAAGAGACCGATATCACACGCGAGTCCCGCGGATATAAAGGAATAAGGACATTTAATTCTATCGAACTACCACGAGTGCTGGATTACTCACACAGGTCAGTTTTTTAGACGAATTAAACTTGTGAGGTAACGCGGCGCTGCTTCACTTGGTCTAACGTTACACTATCACACTAAACGGCATTTAAATGTGTGTTGAAAGTTATAATGTTAAACTACGTGTTAGTTCCTTTGCTATACGAGACTAGCAGTAAGATCAACATTAGAATAACATACTGACCATATACTAACATTTCATCATGTTGAGCTAACGTTATGGAACACTGATTAGTTTTATGTACATTTGCTCACCTGTCTAATAAAGCTGTCAAGTCGTGACTCGTGAAGCTTTGTCGAGTCCGAGTTAGCCGCGGACGCTAGCTCTCGGCATCTCAAAAACGCCACGCTGATGTTGATCCTCATTTTAGTTCTCCTGGTTTGTCCCAAAGTCTGCTTGCCATGGTCTTTGTTTGAAAGAAACGAGAACTGCGAGCCGCTAAACGTTACGCACTACACAGTTGTCCACGTCTGTCGCCATGGTTACGTCATGGCTATGGCAGTACGAGCGGAAACCGAGGATAGCGCGGATATTGCGTCATTGACAGGCGACATTTTTTTCCGGGACGGCCACTTATTTAAAATTGGAATTTCTCTGAAATAAAAAAATCTTTGGAGACTTTTGGGATATTGCAAGTACACAACTGCAGGAAATATATCACACTGTGCAAGTGATTTTTGGATATTTTATTACAAAATTCTTACATATTGTACCTTTAATGTACTATATTTTAGTTCGATAATGTTTTTTATTTAATATTTTGTATTTTTAGGGGATTTTATGGTACTAAATTATATTTACACTATTTATAATCCATTTATTCACTTTTTGAGCGTAGACCTGAAATTAAATGTCCAGCTCAAACTGTGGAGAATCTTGAACGCTTTAGAGCGACAGACTGAAGTTTGATCTCTTCTCAAACACGACACTCGGCAGATTATTGCTGAAGTGAAAACAGTTTTAAAAAGTGAACTTAATAAAAGTTACAGAATTTTACGTTTATTGATATGAAAAAAAAAAAAATAGAAAAAAATAATATTTAAAATGTTCACGTGAAATATATATTTTCAAAAACATGTTTTACTCCAAAACTGTGAGAAAATCAAAGGCATTATTCTAAACAAGTTGTGTTCCAAATGTGAGGTTGATGTCTCAGTAAATGAGCGTTCAGTGAGATGTTGTTCGGCTTTACCAAAACCTTTACCAAGGGTCATCTGGTACCATTCCGATGACCAGAGAGACAGAACTCACATTATCAATGTTTATGATGCGCCAGTGTGGGAATCTCTCGGCCAGAGCAGAGATCAGATGAGATCCACTGAAACACAAGCAGAACGGCATTATTAGATCAACTTACGCTTGCGACGGTTTTAGGAAACGCTGTTAAAGGTGCAGTAAGCGATTTCTGAGAAAACAAACACGCCCCCACACAAAAGATCCCATCCCTCTTTATCTTTATAGCTCCGCCCCCACATTCACAAGCACCCTAGGCAGCACAGGCACCTCCCCCCTCGTGAGTGGGCACGCCCCTTTCTGCTGATTGGCTACAAGTGTGTTTTTATTTCTCAGAATTGTCTTACTGCACATTCTCAGTGTGTTTCAGTCAGCTGGTGTTTTGGTGATTTTTGGGGTATATTTTTACACATTGATGCACTAGACGGAAGAGTTTTCTGTTTTTAGTTGGCTGTATAAAGTCAGCTCTCCTCGACCACTTACGTAGAAATTATGACAAAAAAGTAGAAATTATGACATACTAAATAAAAAAAAATGACATGTCAAATTATGACGTACTAAATTCAAATTATGACAAAAAGTAGAAATTATGACATATTAAATCAAAATAATCCCATAAATCAGATTATGAAATTAGCATATACTTAACTGAATTATTACATAAAAAACCGAAATTATGACAAAAAGTAATAAATGTGACAATCATAATAATGACTTTCTAAGTCAAAATTTTGACTTTTATTGTAATAATTCAGTTTAGTATTTCTGCAAGTTTTATGACGATACATTTAAGACTTGTTGAAGACCTTTTTAAGACCAAGTAAATTAGAAATTAAGGAATAAACTGAAGAGAACTTTAAATGTGTTCCAGGGAGAAACACAATGAGTTGAATGAGCAAAACTTCAGAGTTTGAAAATGTAACTTCTTACATATCCATTACTTTTTAATTCATATTACAAAAAAACGTAGCTTGAATCTCTAGAATATGATAATAACTTTTACTGAACATTCTGATCACAAAAAAGTGTTTCTGTCACATTTTTCAGTGCAAATTTAAAGTGAGTTTTTGAATCTTTCTATACAGTAAATGACTCCTGATTCGATGTTCTCTTGTCTAATGCTGTGCCTGTGACACTATATTAATAACGGTCAATAATAACGCCCATTAACGTCAATATTAACTGTCATTAACGGTCAATAATAACGGACTCACATGAATCCCGCGCCTCCGGTCACCAGTACAGTGCGACACTCACTGCAGCTCATCTTCACACATCAGTTTAACAGGTTTAACCAGGCTGTAGATGAAGTTAAAGTGAATCATGACAGTGAACATAAAGCGCTTAATCTACTCTGAAACACTGCGGTCTCTTCAGAAACGCGAGTGACGGCGATTTAAATAACAGTCGCGTTACTCACTGACTACTCCACATTTCTTCAATAAATAATTACATGACATCAGGGAGCTTCGTAAACACAGCGCTCACGACAGTTTAGCAGCGGTTTCCGGCAGCGCTGACACGTATGAGCCAAGCTCTGTCCCCGCCCCCGCTGCGCTCTCATTGGCTGCTTCACTGCGCTAGACTGAAAAGGCGTATTCTGATTAGTTGTAGCAGACGTCAATCATCCGGTGGGAGGAAAAGAACTGTATTACCTCATTGATTGCAGTGAATGAAGAGAATAAGAGCTTCTGTTGAAATGAAATAATGTTTGTGTTCTTTATCGTTCTCATTGTTCTTCTGTTCAGTTCATGTCCTGTAGCGGGAAAAACGGTTTCTGGGGTTTTCAGCAGTGACGCGGCGAGAGAAAATTATGGGCAATACATCACAAGATTTCTGTATCATGGTGGGTGTCTGATATTAATAAAATAAATCATGCATTTGCATTTTTCTTCCATGTATTTGCATGCATTTTTTGTCTCGGCTTTCTTTTCACATGCATGCCTGTAAAAGGCTTAATGAGCAGTTCGAGTCCGGGAATATTGCTGTGATTGATCCTATGGTCGTGTCTGACAGGTGAGAACGGGCTGATGTCGTGTCGTGTGTATGATGTTCAGATGGCCGTGCAGAAGGAGGCCAGACTGCTGCTGTTCCAGGACACCGAGGACTTTGACAATCTCAGCTGTCAGGAGAGAGTCACATCAGCGGAGATCTCCAGTAAGATTCATTCATTCGCATCTGAACCGGTTTCAACAGGGAATTATGTTTTACATTTCTACAGTGAAGCCGTGAACTTTGAACCCTAATTTCACATCACAGATAAGTCACGCGGCCGCTCACTCGATGTGACGCTCAATCTAGGGCTGTAGTAGCGGTATATCGCGGTATATCATGATTATCAGACATTTACTTATCTACGGTAAAGTATCCATTTTAATCTAAATATATAAATAAGAGGGATCATACATGATGCATATTTTTTATTTAGTGCTGTCCTAAATAAGATATTTTACATAAAATATGTTTACATATTGTCCACAAGACAACAAAAATAGCTGAATTTAGAAAATGGTTGAAAAGTTTTTATGTTTATGATGGTTGTTCTCGAGTCCCTTGTTTGTCCTGAGCAGTTAAACTGCCCGATGTTCTTCAGAATAATCCTTGCTTTCCAACATCCTTTGCATATTTGAACCCTTTCCAGCAAAAATTTGGACATCTTCATCCTGTTCAAAAGTTTTCACCCCCACTTTTTTTAATACGTAGTTGCGTTAAATAATTAACATTTTGCAGATTCAAGGGGTATGTAAACTTTTGACCACAACTGTATACACTGTAGGTTTATCTACTAGTATTACCTACACTATACACTATACTATAGGTACAAACCTATATAATGAAGGTTTATATACTAGTATAACCTATACTATACATTATACTATAGGTAAAAACCTATATAATGTAGGTTTATATACTAGTATAACCTATACTATACATTATACTATAGGTACAAACCTATATAATGAAGGTTTATATACTAGTATAACCTATACTATACATTATACTATAGGTACAAACCTATATAATGAAGGTTTATATACTAGTATAACCTATACTATACATTATACTATAGGTACAAACCTATATAATGAAGGTTTATATACTAGTATAACCTATACTATACATTATACTATAGGTACAAACCTATATAATGAAGGTTTATATACTAGTATAACCTATACTATACATTATACTATAGGTACAAACCTATATAATGAAGGTTTATATACTAGTATAACCTATACTATACACTATACTATAGGTACAAACCTATATAATGAAGGTTTATATACTAGTATAACCTATACTATAGGTACAAACCTATATAATGAAGGTTTATAGACTAGTATAACCTATACTATACATTATACTATAGGTACAAACCTATATAATGAAGGTTTATATACTAGTATAATCTATACTATACATTATACTATAGGTACAAACCTATATAATGAAGGTTTATATACTAGTATAACCTATACTATACATTATACTATAGGTACAAACCTATATAATGAAGGTTTATATACTAGTATAACCTATACTATACATTATACTATAGGTACAAACCTATATAATGAAGGTTTATATACTAGTATAACCTATACTATACATTATACTATAGGTAAAAACCTATATAATGTAGGTTTATATACTAGTATAACCTATACTATACATTATACTATAGGTACAAACCTATATAATGAAGGTTTATATACTAGTATAACCTATACTATACATTATACTATAGGTACAAACCTATATAATGAAGGTTTATATACTAGTATAACCTATACTATACATTATACTATAGGTACAAACCTATATAATGAAGGTTTATATACTAGTATAACCTATACTATACATTATACTATAGGTACAAACCTATATAATGAAGGTTTATATACTAGTATAACCTATACTATACATTATACTATAGGTACAAACCTATATAATGAAGGTTTATATACTAGTATAACCTATACTATACATTATACTATAGGTAAAAACCTATATAATGTAGGTTTATATACTAGTATAATCTATACTATACATTATACTATAGGTACAAACCTATATAATGAAGGTTTATATACTAGTATAACCTATACTATACATTATACTATAGGTACAAACCTATATAATGAAGGTTTATATACTAGTATAACCTATACTATACATTATACTATAGGTACAAACCTATATAATGAAGGTTTATATACTAGTATAACCTATACTATACATTATACTATAGGTACAAACCTATATAATGAAGGTTTATATACTAGTATAACCTATACTATACATTATACTATAGGTACAAACCTATATAATGAAGGTTTATATACTAGTATAACCTATACTATACATTATACTATAGGTAAAAACCTATATACTGTAGGTTTATAAACTAGTATAACCTATACTATACACTATATTCTATAGGTACAAACCTATATACTGTAGATTTCTGACTCAAACTCCCCGCCTTTAAAGATGTGGATTGACTACAGACACAAATAGATAAAGTGCAATAAAAAAAACACTTAAATGTGAATTTTGGACGTTTTCTTTTCACTAGTAATGTAAAGTAGAGATTTAAAACCGAGCAGTGCATGAAATAAAATATGTTTTTGCCTGCGGTATCTTGCCTTAAAGGAAAAGAAGTCTAAAAGGACTAAGTTTAGCTGTTTTTGAAACAACTGAACAAAGAGCATGTTGATTTTTGTCTTTAACTGTTCATATAACGTTTCACATTCTCAGTTAATCTAAACAAAGAGGAGCAGAACCAGACTATCCCGCACCAGTCCTCGCCTCAGACGTGGCACGTGATGTACGCGGACCGCTACACCTGTCAGGAGAAGCAGATCGACGGCGCGCCAGAACACGTCCGCTACCAGATCACCATGCTAAACCCCGACGCCGCGGGAAACCCACTGGATCACTTCAGCGCCGAAGAGGCCGGTGAGACTCTGCTGGAACCCTTCAAATTAGGGTTGCACAATTAATCACAGTGAAACCGATTATTTTATGTGCAGCTTGTCAGTGAAGTGTGGCTGATCGGGAGTAAATGCTCCATCTGAACACCAGATGGCGTCTCACACACACACACACACCACATATCCCTCACCGCTGAAGTACGATAACACACATCATTCCAGGAACTCCCTATGAGCTTCTCACTCTCTGCATCTGAATAAACAGAAGATTGAAACGCTGTGATTGATGAAACATGACTAATAAACACACGACTGCCGTATTCTAATTGTCTTTTGTTGGACAAGAGGTTCATAAATGCGTCTCATGTCTGGAAAGATGTTTGACGTGTGTTGCTTTTTCAAATGCTCGTTATAAGCGACTCAAACTCGGGGCTTTCAGAGTGAGCCGCGATTACTGAGCCGTACTTCACTGACACGCTGCACATGAACAATAATCACAGCCTTTGCCATTTCATAATCGCGATAAGCCAAATGGTTTTTGACAGTCATGCACGTCGTTGCAGGGCTACACAGTTTCTACTCCCTGCTGATGGTGGCGTACTTCGTGGCGTCGTGCATCTACGCTCCGCCGCTGTGGCAGGCGCTGAGGAAGGGCGGCCCGATGCTAACGGTTCTGAAGGTTTTAACCGCTGCGCTGATGCTACAGGGAACATCAGTTCTGTTCAACTTCATCCACATGAGCCGGTCAGATCTGCTTCCTGAAGCACTGTAGCGTCATCAGGAGGAGGCTCTGTGCTGATGTGTGTGTGTGTGTGTGTGTTCTGACTCCTCAGATACGCTCGAGACGGTGTGGGGACGCCGCTGACCGGGAGCCTCGCTGAACGTGAGTCTGTAACCGCGTCAGTCGTTCACACTGCACTCGCCTCTGATTAGTTATCATCTGATAAATGCATTAGTGGCATCAGGATGCTGAAAGATTCAATGAGGTTTCATGGGTTTGATTTCCTGGGAAAGCATGAACTGATAATGAGTTCCTCGAATCCAATGCAAGTCGTGTTGGATAAAAGGGTATAGCAAGTGCATGAATGTAATGGTGTGATTGTGTGTGTGTGCGTGTGTGTGTGTGTGTGTGTGTGCATCTGTTTGTGTCCGTGTTTGTGCGTCTGTTTGTGACCGTGTGTGTGTTTGTCTGTTTGTGTGTGTGTGTGTCAGTGTGTGACATGATCGCGCAGGTGCAGATGCTCTACATGTTGTTGAGTCTGTGTGTGGGCTGGTCTCTGAGTCGGAAAAGGAAGTCTCAGTGTAAACCTCTACAGTGGGACTCGACACCCGCCTCCACTGCACTCGCACTGGCCGTCGTCATCGCTCAGGTCAGCCGCGCTCACACACACGCTCACAAACACACACACACACACACACACGCTCACACACACTCAAACACACACACACACACACACTCACACACACACACACGCTCACACACACACACACACACGCTCACACACACACACACACACACACACACACACACACGCTCACACACACACGCGCTCACACACACTCAAACACAGACACACACACACACTCACACACACACACACACACACACACACGCTCACACACACACACACACACACACACACGCTCACACACACACACACACACGCGCTCACACACACACACACACACACACACACTCACTGGGCTTCATTTACTAATAATTGCATGGTTTATTTTGTGTGTGTGTGTGTGTGTCTGCAGGGGGCGCTGCTGATCTGGGAGCAGTTTGAGGAGGCGGATCACCACAGCTTCCACTCCTCCAGCGGTGTGTGTGTGTGGCTCCTGATGGCGCTGCGTGTCTCTCTCGCTGTGTTTCTGGCGTCAGTGCTGTATCAGATCGTCTCGGCGGAGCGGAGCGCGCTCAAGAGAGACTTCTACCTCAGCTTCGCCAAGGCAAACACACTCCTTCTGTCTGACTGGAAAAGTGTGGAACACTGAAGATGTTTCTATGTTCCTGAAAGAGTCTCTTCTGCTCATCAAAGCTGCGTTTATTTGATCAAAAAATACAGTAAAAATAGTGAAATATTATTATAATGTAAATCCGCTGTTCTCTATGTGAATATCCAGTAAAGTGTAATTTATTCCTGTGATCAAAGCTGAATTTTCAGCATCATTACTCCAGTCTTCAGTGTCACATGATCCTTCTTCACTGCCACTTTTGACCAATTAAATGCATCCTTGATGAATAAAAGTATTACAACTTTTGAGTGGTAACATAACAACTGTTTCCAACACTGATAATAATCATAAATGTTTCTTGAGCATCAGATCCTCATATTAGAGTGATTTCTGAAGGATCATGTGACACTGAAGACTGGAGTAATGATGCTGAAAATTCAGCTTTGATCACAGGAATAAATTACACTTTACTGTATATTCACATAGAGAACAGCGGATTTACATTATAATAATATTTCACTGTTTTTACTGTATTTTTTTTATCAAATAAACGCAGCCTTGCTGAGCAGAAGAGACTCTTTCAGGAACATTAAATAATCAGTGTCGTGAATCTGTGGTCTGTGTTTCAGGGCTGTTTTCTGTGGTTCCTCTGTCATCCAGTGCTGGTTCTGTTCTCTGTGTTGCTCAATGAACATCAGAAAGAAAAGGTAAAGAGAAACACGCCTCCAGCAGCAACAGAACAAGAAATACCTCTCTCTCGTCTCTGTCTCGTCTCTCTCTCGTCTCTCTCTCGTCTCTGTCTCGTCTCTCTCTCGTCTCTCTCTCGTCTCTCTCTCGTCTCTGTCGTCTCTGTCTCGTCTCTCCTTTCACGTCTCTGTCTCGTCTCTCTCTCGTCTCTGTCGTCTCGTCTCGTCTCTCTCTCGTCTCTCTCTCGTCTCTCTCTCGTCTCTCTCTCGTCTCTCTCTCGTCTCTGTCTCGTATCTCTCTCGTCTCTGTCGTCTCGTCTCTGTCTCGTCTCTCTCGTCTCTCTCTCGTCTCTCTCTCGTCTCTCTCTCGTCTCTCTCTCGTCTCTGTCGTCTCGTCTCTCTCTCGTCTCTGTCTCGTCTCTCCTTTCACGTCTCTGTCGTCTCGTCTCGTCTCTCGTCTCGTCTCCGTCTCGCTCGTCTCTCGCTCGTCTCTCTCTCGTCTCTGTCGTCTCGTCTCTCTCTCGTCTCTGTCGTCTCGTCTCCGTCTCGCTCGTCTCTCTCTCGTCTCTCTCTCGTCTCTCTCTCGTCTCGTCTCCGTCTCGCTCGTCTCTCTCTCGTCTCTCTCTCGTCTCTGTCTCGTCTCTGTCTCGTCTCTGTCTCGTCTCTCCTTTCACGTCTCTGTCGTCTCGTCTCGTCTCTCGTCTCGTCTCCGTCTCGCTCGTCTCTCTCTCGTCTCTCTCTCGTCTCTCTCTCGTCTCTGTCTCGTCTCTCTCTCGTCTCTCTCTCGTCTCGTCTCCGTCTCTGTCTCGTCTCTGTCGTCTCGTCTCGTCTCGTCTCTCTCGTCTCTGTCGTCTCTGTCACGTCTCTGTCTCGTCTCTCTCGTCTCTGTCGTCTCGTCTCTGTCACGTCTCTGTCTCGTCTCTCTCGTCTCTGTCGTCTCGTCTCTGTCTCGTCTCTCTCTCGTCTCTCTCTCGTCTCTCTCTCGTCTCTGTCTCGTCTCTCTCACGTCTCTGTCGTCTCGTCTCCGTCTCGCTCGTCTCTCTCTCGTCTCTCTCTCGTCTCTGTCGTCTCGTCTCCGTCTCGCTCGTCTCTCTCTCGTCTCTGTCTCGTCTCTCTCTCGTCTCTGTCGTCTCGTCTCCGTCTCGCTCGTCTCTCTCTCGTCTCTGTCTCGTCTCTCTCTCGTCTCTCTCTCGTCTCGTCTCCGTCTCTGTCTCGTCTCTGTCGTCTCGTCTCGTCTCGTCTCTCTCGTCTCTGTCGTCTCTGTCACGTCTCTGTCTCGTCTCTCTCGTCTCTGTCGTCTCGTCTCTGTCACGTCTCTGTCTCGTCTCTCTCGTCTCTGTCGTCTCGTCTCTGTCTCGTCTCTCTCTCGTCTCTCTCTCTCGTCTCTCTCTCGTCTCTGTCTCGTCTCTCTCGTCTCTGTCTCGTCTCTCTCGTCTCTGTCTCGTCTCTCTCGTCTCTGACTCGTCTCTCACGTCTCTCTCTCGTCTCTCACGTCTCGTCTCGTCTCGTGTCCGCAGGTGGTCACGATCGGCGTGATCCTGTGCCAGTCGATCTCAGTGGTGGTCCTGTACCAGCTCTTCTTGTCCCGGAGTCTGTACTGGGAAGTGTCGTCGCTGTCGTCGGTCTCGCTCCCGCTCACCATGAGCCGCCGCGGCCGGTTCTGATCCGTCACACGAGACGCTTCGCGCCGGAGCCGATCATCACGCGACACACGGAGAGATCCGAGAGATCAGGAGACGCTGAGCCACATCATACAGATCACGTTCAGCGATGAATGAGAAGGACAGCTAAAGCTCAGTGTTCAGCAATAAGAAAATGAAAGATGTCTGTTAGTTCTCGGCGTGTGACGCCACTTCATTGTGTTTCTCAGTCTGAATGCTTGATTTCACTCATGATTTCAGTTCTGTTGTTCCCAATAAGTGCCTAAAGTGACAATCATCTGAGCGGGAAACACACATCACGACGCTCTTCCTCAGTGTTTCTGTCTCGTTTTCCAGACCAAACATCTACACATTCTTAAATCAAGACACATCCACTGGAGAAAGAAGCAAACTGAAGATATTAAGCCTTGATTACTGAAAAAATCATCAGAATTAAGTGAGTTTGAGCTTAAATCGAAAACAATTGAGTCAGAAAAATAATCTTGTTTTCCCTTTGGACTAAGTTTATTTTTCAGACTCTGGAGTCAGATATTTGACCTTGTTTTAAGCTCAAACTCACTTCATTTCTTTCAGTAATCAAGGCTTAATATCTTCAGTCATTGTTGTTCTCCAGTAAATGTGTCTTGATTTAAGAGTGTTTAGATTTTTGCTGGAAAACGAGACAGAAACACTGAGGAAGAGCGTCGTGTTTTGCAGAGTTTGTGTGTCGACTGAATATTAAATCAATGGATATTTATTGATCCTCTTTTCTGGATCCTGCACATTTCAGAGTCAAAGGAGAAAGATGTGAAAATAAATCCTGTTTACTAGAGTTGCATGTGTTGTTCAGTGAAGGACTGTCTCTGAAGTCGTGTTAATAAACATCATAAACACTGTATATTCACTGGTTTCTCTGAGCTGTAGTGTTGAACTCCTCATGACAGGGACGTTTCTCCTCTATTGTGCCGTATATCCGAGAGAAACGCTTCGGGAACAAGAACACAAGTGGGAGAATATCAGAGAAGAGGAAGGGGAACTCATTCTGATTCAACATTATTAACAGAATATTGATGTGCACTGGAAAATCATTTTGAATAAACACTGCAAGATTCCATTAGGAAAAACTTGATTTCATGGTGACTTTAAACCAAATGAATACAAAAAATGTTTGCGCAGAAAGTAAACACTGTGATGTGACTTAAATTTATGATTCATAAATACAGATTTGTACATAATATAGGTATCATTTACAATAAGGTTCCGTTTATTAATCATGTTAAATCAACATTTACTAAAACATTAGTTGTATCTGATAGCATTATTTAACGGAGCTGAACTAATAATGACAAGTTTATTAACTAACACAAATATTAATATCTGCTGTAATAAATGTATTGAGCATTAAGATCCACTGATGTACTTCCATCATAACTGGGATTATT